AATCTATACTTTTACTTTTGATACTTAAGTACAAAAATATCAGATACTTTAATAATTTTACTCAAGTAAGATTCTTAAAGGAGACTTTAACTTTTACAAAAGTAATTTTTTGGTAAGATACTTGTACTTTTACTCAAGTATCACTTTGTGGTACTTTATACAACACTGAGAACGATATATCGAGCATCCCTATTCAGACATGATCACCTTTACTCTTTTACACGACACTTTTGGCTCAGGTTGTTGCTGTTTTCCTACCCAAACATGTTTGTGATAATATAAATGTACTGTATGTGTGCTGAATATAAAACACGTAAATGTCAGTGTCCTGACTTGGGCTGCATCAGATTAGAAAAGCTTGCAATATACTGTAAGTAATTAATACTGAGATCACAACATCAATTACAATAAAGAGACAATATTCTCATTTCTGTCATCACTGGCATCTAAACCAGGTGCACTGTTGCCAAAAGGAAAAGCTGCTTTTGGCTTTCCTAAAAGCTGTTATCACATAATTTGCATATTTGGACACCAACTGTGATCTAGCCTGTAGGGAGATGTACAGTATATCAATGCTAAAGAGATAAAAGTGAGTAAAATACCCTCTAAATACAAAATTACAAAATAACTTAATGAAAATATTTCACGACTTCAATGTTTAGATGATTACATGAATACACTTTGTGAGAATATTAATCTCAACCAGCAGTTAGACGTCACAGAGGCCCACAGGGGGGATGGGGTGAGGAAGGGACTGAGGCTGTGAGTCAAGTGCAGCCGGGGTCCAGACTTATATTTTAGTGAGCAGTGTCAGAGAAAAAAAAAACATAACAGCAAAAATTATCCCACTTTGGCTTAGTGAGGCATGAGTCTGACAACTTGTCAGTCTTTTGGAAATGGGCGTGGCTTACAGCACCACTGAATAAAGTGATGTCACTAAAAACACTGACAAAAGTTTTGTCGCCAAGTGCTTTTTTGGAAAAAAAAGTTTAAAAAGTCATTAGAGGGGTCCAGGTGTGGGCGTCAAGATCAATGACTGTTTGTTGAACTGACCAAATGTATTAAAGCATGCAGAACATGTATAGTTGAAATGTGATTGATTGATTGATTGATTGATTGATTGATTGATTGATTGATTGATTGATTGATGCTTTTATTGTCATTGTATGGAGCACAATGAAATTACATTTAAGAAAACCCATCCAAGAAGACACATATGATAAAAACACGGGGGAACAGGTGATCAGGTCATGCGGCAACCAGCAGGGGTCATGCTACCTTTAAAAGAAAAACGAAATACAACAGAAGGTTAGATGAGGAAAAAAACTGAACAAAACATCATATTATATCAACGAAATATGATACACTATGGTGTTTATAAAAAAAAACCCTCTGCAGAGCAAGAGCACAATTATTAGCCCGAGGAGCAAGTGAGTTTAGAGGAAATAGTCCTAAGATCCAAAAGAAAAACCTGTAGTTCAGCCATTAGTTCAGAATATTGGTGTTGAATTGTTCATTCTGCCAGCTCCAGGTTGACCTTCAGGAAATCAGATTAGATGGAGTGAGGGGGGTGGGGGGGTGGAGGGAGAAGCCACAGTCGACGTAACCACCTCTGAGAAATTAGATCCACAGTCTCAAGGTCAGCATGGGTGGGGAGAGCCGAATCTGTAATCAGTTGTTTTGGAACAGAGCAAACGTTTTCGGTCAGACAGACAATAACAATTTTTCATCTTCCTTAATGTCCGCTGGTACATCTCAAGGTGGCGAATCCAATCAGACAAATAATGTGGGCAATTCTGCCGAGCCAGGCTCTCAGCTTCTCCAAGATCAATTCCATCTGGCCAGCAAAGTCCAGGAACCACAGCCAGCCTGCAACACTCTGCAGAACCGCTTGCAGACCGAGTCCAGCTCGCTCAAAGCAAAAGTCTGAGTGCTGATAGAACGGCAATCCTTCATATTGGTCAGGCAGCCAGGAAATGGTCTAATAGCCAAAGATGTTGTTTTGTAGAACACCAGGAGACCATCAAGCCAATCTGTAGAATCCAGTGATCAGAATCCAAATATATATCCAGAACAGAGGTCCCACCTTTGACATGTCCTCCCATGGAAAAATAATGTTTAATAGACCAGCTAACCAAATCCATAAAAATAAATCCATAATTTTTGTCACTTCAGTAGAAAATGAAACCAAATATTAGTTTATTTAGTTTATTTATTTTTTCATCATCAGTGAC